CAAAACATTTGGAGCAAAGGTTTACATTTGAACAAAACATCAAGAGCAAAGATTACCATTTGAACAAAACATTTAGAGCAAAGTTTTACATTTGAACAAAACATTTAAAGCAAAGGTTTACATTTGAACAAAACATTTGGAGCAAAGGTTTACATTTTATAACAACCATTTAGAGTAAAGGTTTACATTTGAACAAAAAATATTTAGAGCAAAGGTTTACATTTGAACAAAACATTTAGAGCAAAGGTTTACATTTGAACAGAACATTTAGAGCAAAGGTTTATATTTGAACAAAACATTTGGAGCAAAGGTTTACATTTGAACAAAACATTTGGAGCAAAGGTTTACATTTGAACAAAATATTTAGAGCAAAGGTTTACATTTGAACAAAAAATTTAGAGCAAAGGTTTATATTTAAACAAAATATTTAGAGCAAAGGTTTACATTTTAACAAAACAATTAGAGCAAAGGTTTATATTTAAACAAAATATTTAGAGCAAAGGTTTACATTTGAACAAAACACTTAGAACAAAAGTTAACATTTGAAGAAACATTTTGAGCAAAGTTCTACGATTAAAAAAATTTGGAGCAAAGATCTACATTTTAACAAAATATTTATGAGCAAAGATGTACATTTCAACAAAACACATTAGAGCAAAATCCTACATTTGAACAAAACATTTTGTAGCAAAGAATCTAAACATGTTGAAGCAAATATCTACTTTTCAAAGAAAGAAACATTTCGGAGCAAAGATTAACATTTAAACAAAACATTTTGGCGCAAAGATTTACAAATATTAGGAGCAAAGATTTGCATTTTATCAACGAAGAAAATGTTTTAATCTGCTTGAATGAATGTTCTAGAAACTTCATGTTATATGCATTATTTCTTCTGTATTCTATTATGACCGTATAGTTTGATACGGTTTAAATAATTGAGAAGAGGAATTAGCGCGGTGCCGGGGGGTTTAATAATAATTAAATATTTTAATGTATATTGTATGTTCAACTATATCAATTCATTATATTTTATGATTCTGTTTAATATCCAGGATAAAAGGGGGTTATATTCAAACAACCATTTTAACCCTTAAAAAGGCCGTAGACGTAATAACAAGTAACCGTTCAATTAAAGAGCGGAATGTCCGATTCACAGTTTGGTATTCTTCAAACCTCTATTAGAGTAATTAATGAGAACGATCTCACCGTTTTTTATCTTAAAGAGTGTTAATTCTATCAATATCCTGATCGTTGTCTCTGTAGAGCTTTCACAGATAAACCATAATTTAAAAATTATCATTTATTCATTCTCATCAGACACAGGTTTAAAGGGGACTGTTGTGAATCGGACATGGTAACTTGAATTTACGCTTACAGTCCCTTTTAATTCTTGGCAAATAGATTATCAATTATGATAGGTGGCAACAGAGAAATGGACCAATTATAAACGACGTCACAACAAGGAAGACAACATTTTCTCCCATTAGTTGACATGTTTTCCAAGATTAAATGAAAAAGTGTAAAAACAGAACATAAAGCACACAAAATTTCACTATTTTCACTGTAAGATAAGCACTTTTTTATCACTTTAATTAATAATTTAGTCGGACACATAAAACTGTTGACACTTGTGATGTAAGAATACAGCTGTACGGAGTGTGTACAACTTCTACGTTGCCATCTGTTGTACATAATGATCTATTTGATTCTTGATAGCTTTAAACCTCCAGCACATTCAGAGGAGCGTATAATGAAAATTAAACCTGTGGTTAAACCTTTACAAAATAGGTGAAGCTATGCAGATTTCGTTGCAATAATTTATTTGCATAAAAACGTAAATTCCTATTTGCACAACTATAAAGTTTATGTATCTACATGTTGGAATAGAAAGCTGTATAAAACCCCAAATTATCCAAAAAGGAAACAAACTGTTGTTGTTGTAGGTAGAGATGATACATCGGTATAATAGTCTGAATATAACACTGAGATATCTTTACAATAAAGCTCTACGCTAACATCATGAAACATTTTTGAATGCTTGCTCACTCCACCAGACATATATATGAGTATTAGAGATATACCTAATATACCTAGGGTTATGTAATTTAATGTAATTTAATGTAATGTAATGTAATGCAATGTGATAAATGTATTATAATTTAATTTGTTTGTTTTAATTATGTCTGAGTTGTTTGTTTTCCGTGAAAATGACGTCTTAAGGCTTCAAAATGAATACAAGTTTAAAATACATTCAATCATTAAAACAGCTGATTGTAACATATGCAGTATAGGTGTTATGGGGGGGGGCTTTGAAGGGTTAAGGGGGAGGAGGAACCTACCGTCACATCCTTACATAATAATTTAGCAACATCCAAAAAAATTGTCAAAAAATTAAAGCAGGGTACCCCCTTTGGTGTTTTTTGATTTGTTTGGAAAATTGGGATTTAAAGATGGTGTTAAAGTCTCATAGATCAGGAGCATAATAGACGACCACAAGATTAGTGGCTAACTTTTATGAGAAGCTAAAAACAAGTCTAGCTGGCTACAGGTAGCATAGACTAATGTTTAATATATTATAAGTAGAGAAAATTATAAATAAAAAATCCTTTCTTTACGTACGTCCTGAGACCTGTGTGTACGTCGGTATTTAAGAAGCCCGATGGGGACGGGGGGAGGGGGGATGGAGTGAGGAGGGTCCTTAATGAAGGGGAGGGGCATCGTATTAAATTTCAACATATGTTTACACCATTCCTAAGTGAATTACCCTATTTTCTGCGTTTATATTTGTCTAAAGCCAAATTACATTAACCCTATATCTGCTGGGGTATCTGAAAACCAGGATATGCGGGGGTGGGTCAACTTCACCCCCCCTGTATTACATTGATTTACATAGTGAAGACGACCTTTTATGACATTGTTTTACCGACTCTAATCGAGAAGAGCAGTCAAACTAGAATTAGTTTAAATAACACAATGTAGGTGTCTCTATAGTTCCGATCAAATTCTCAAAGTTCTGCATTTGTCTCTGATAAAACCATGACAATAAGTTTTCTCTGTTTTCGACATGATATGTTTTACATAATTTTTCATTAAAAGTATACTTTTTTTATAACATTGCATCTAGATGTTTCTACTATTAATTATTTCAAACAAAAATACGCTGAGTACAGAAAACTTCATTGTAACCGCCTTATAATAACCTTTAAGCTTTTTGTTAATAATTATTTGTAGAGTTTGAAAACTCCTGTCTTCTTGTACTACTATATTACTGTGCATAGGTCAATTGTTGGGCAGCCTGATTAAATTCATGGAGATAGGAAGTCACTATATGTCAAATTAAGTATAAGGCTCTTCGGGGGGGGGGGGGATGTTGAAAGATCAAGAAATTCCTGAGAAATTCTCAGCACTTCCTCACATAATTATCAAGTTACGTTTTTCAACACTAGGTGTCTCTGAGGTTCTCTTCTTTTATGCACTGATCAAACTAAATCTTTTATTTGCATCCTTATTGATAAAAAATGATAATTTACTCCAGAAGTAATAAGAAGAATAAGAATAAGAATAAGAAGAATAAATACATCTAAGAATCAACATAAAGTTACATAAATGATATAAATAAGATAGCTAAGGGGGAGGGCAGAGTTTTATGCAAATGTAGTATGTGCCTTGAAGATATTTATATATGTTAGTTTTTTGCTTCGTTTTCAAACGAACTTTATCATAAAGATCATAAAGTTGTGCGTAATTATAAAGTTAACTTTTTTCCGCAAGGTGTCATATGAAACAATTAGATTTATATCTTTTATAAATACAATGTAAATTTTAAAAATCAAATTTTTAAAAATAGGTTTAGCTGGGTACATTACATTACATTATATAATTTTATTTTTATTTAATTTAATTTATTCTCTTTTCAATTCAATTCAAAGAATAATGAGATAACTTGTTTAATATCTGAACTGCTGTCGACATCACTGGGCAGGCCCTCCGGCATTTAAACAGCTATATTCTTGGATTTGCCTCTTACTACCGGATTAATAGCGTTATTTTGAAACCTTGTAGGGTTCCGAACTCTCCTTAAAACATCTGAATCTTGACTTTCTGCTTCTGAAACCTCGTTTTCTGAACTGATAATAACTCTAGAGGTATCTGCTCTATGCTCCGGTATTAGTCCTTCTAAAATTTCAATTTTCGTTTTTTGTTTTGTTTTCAAACGAACTTTATAATAGAGATCATAAAGATAATGCGGAATTATAAAGTTAACTTCTTATTGATCAGTAAATATATTTTTACGATTATTTAAAACGACGGCAGATCGACGCAGTTGTTTGTTTTACGTGAAAATTAAGAAAATCAATATTTTAGATGTTATGTAATGTTAAATCGAAGTTAAAGATGGCAGATTTACACTAAATTTTGCCTATGGTTAAGGATGTCCCTTAGAAGGGAGCGAATGCGGTTCCTGCTGACTCCGGGATGGATGAAACCAGTGTTGTATCTCTACTCGGATCCAAGGATAAACCTGCTCCTCAGCTAAAACTAGGAGTTTGGATAGAACTACAAGAGGAACCTGAATCCATTAGTTCCGTATCTAAGACTACCATAAAGTAAGAATTGTTTCACTAAAAGTCTTTTCTCCCATTTTTTTACGACACGAAAATGTTAACATCAATACTGCGTTATAATAAAATTATAATTTGGACAGAGTTTTATATCTAGGGCCTATGGAAGAGGGGGGAGGGGGGGGACTTGAATAAGATAAGATACAGTTTATTACTAAATGTTACGCGAGCCATGCTCCGTGTACACAGTCTATGTGGTGCCCCTGTGAATTCCTGAGTTCTCCCTGCGGATCTGTACAGAACGTATTGTGAAAAAACTAGTTTTAGAAGCTGTTTCCAGACCGACTGCGCAGGCGCAAGTTTCTCGCGTGGAAGCGGGCAGTTATATACCGTAGTTTATATTTGTTTGTCTTGCATCCTTGCTGTCCTACATCTCGTCCTCCTCTGATCCTGATTCTAGAATTGAACAAACTACGATACATAAAGAATATATACCTCACGAACTAAATTCCCTTCATATTCCGTCGCAAGTTCTTCAGCCCAAACCTACTCCAGGTTCTCCGTTCCATCAAGTAAACGGACCCGAACCTACACAAAAAACTGATTCTGGACTGACAAAACTGAGACACGATCCTAGTACAGGATTGCCGAAACCTTGGAAAAAAATTATTTTATTTTTCAAGGTTCTAAACTTGACGAAGAGGGCCATTGTTCTCCGCCAACAAAGCCGCCCAAACCTGCCGTTGTTCCCCCTTGGGCGGATATAACGTTTCAAGATCCAGATGAGAGGGATTGCAACTCGCCTCCGCCGCCAAAATCTATGAAAATGTCTTCGCCTCCGAAATCTCGGAAAATGTCCCCACCCCAGCCAGTTGCCCTAAGCATGACCAAAAAATTTGACAGGTAACTTGTTAACTTGTTTAACGTTTAAGAAAGTGGCAGGAACTAAATGGCAGTTGCCACTCAATATCAAGATCAATTTAAGAATACAACAGATCAATTTAACAATACAACAGATCAATTTAAGAAACCAAAATATCAATTATTGAAAAGGTCAATTTGAGAATTCAAAAGATCTAGTTGAGAATAAAAGAGATCAATTTGATAATGTTTAAAAATGGTTGACTTGTCAAATCTGATATTTTAAAGAAAAAGTTTCTGGGCCCCTCAAAATTAGAATTTATAAGGAGATTTGTGGCTTTGGACTATAAAATATGAAACTTTAGCTTTCAAATTTTCTTGAGACATTTTCCCAAAAATAGATTATTTCTTTTATAAAAATACGATAAAATTTATTTGTTTAGAAAGCTGTTTATCGACCTGGTAGAAATAAATTTGCTTGAAAGTTTCTCCAATATATCAATCCAATATTGTTATCCGCCAATATCTAAACAAAATATTGTTATAGGAGGTAAGAATTCTCATATTTTATTTTTACCCCTAAAAATGATTGATTTTAGTTTATTTATATCAGTGCTTAGGAACAGAAGAAAAAATTTAAAATTATTTTCCTCTTTTTCTCGCTTATTTTTATGCTTTATTCTTGTTGAACCTTATAGAGATAGGGGAAGTTATGACTATCTCTCTTTTTTAAACAGTTGAAATTTGGGTTTTGGGAACACAAGTTTTCTTGCGGTTTTTTGTTAAAATTTGACCCTTGAATCCGGATCCGTCAATCCGAATATTTTTTCGGATCCAGATCCAGGATTTTATATATTGATTTGATTTGATTTGATTTGATTTGATTCGATTTCAGATTACAACATCACTGCTGGAGAAATATTAGATTTAACGAACGGATCCTATGAGTTCAATTTCTCCGCCTCCCAAGCTGAGCTCAAGTAAGGAGGAGAAGGAGGAGTGGAAGGAAGAGAAGAAGAAGGAGGAGAAGGAGGAGGAGGAGAAGGAGGAGAAGAAGGAGAAGGAGGAGAAGAATGAATTGCTGTTAATTTGCATTTAAATATATGTCTGAAAATGTTACCAATTTTATTTTATAAAATTTGATTTTGATTTTGGTAACTGATAAATTTTAAAAGTGTTGAGTAGAATCCCCAAGGTTACAATATTACAGTTTTTGTATTTTCCTTCAAGGAAGGTTCTGGAAGAGGTTCTGTCAGTCCTGTCTTTCATGACGTATAAAGAACCAAAACCTCTTTGCAAAATTTAGGTAAAAATTCTAAAAGTGACGCTTAAATTGCGCTCTTTTTGCGCAAGTTGGCTTGCTGGGTACATTACATTTTATAATTTTCTTTTTATTTAATTTAATTTATTCTCTTTTCTTTTCAATTCAAAGAATAATGAGATACAGTTTAAAGTACAGGTTTTGAAAGGCACTGTTGTGACCTGATAAATAAAAAGTTTAAAAGTAGGTCATAGAGTTCTGTAATTTAATGTAATGGAATGAATGTAATATAATGTATGTATAGAGACTAATGACTAGTCTGGGCAGAACTTATGTTTCAAAAATTTTGAAACATAATTTCTGTCCAGACTACAAATACATCAAAGAATCAACATAAAGTTACAGAAATGATATAAATTAGATAGCTAGGGGGGAGGGTGGGGTAGGGTTTTATGTGTCTTATAGGATTTTCTCAGATGTTCGTTTTCGTCTTTCGTTTTCAAATGAACTTTATCATAAAGATCATAAAGATAATGCGGAATTCCAAAGTTAACTTTTTTTCCGCAAGGTGTCATATTTATTTAAAATATTTAAATAAACATTGATATAAAAATTCAAGAATGTTTATTGGAGCCGTTTTTTGTTTTTTAGTTTCAAGAAATGGCTTAAAATAAGTGAAGACGACATTTTATGACATTGTTTNTAGACAGAACTTATGTTTCAAAATATATCACTTTTTGATTCAACTATTAAACTTTTTTTACAAAGTAAATTATCATTTTTTATCAATAAGGATGCAAAGAAAAAGATTTAGTTTGAGCAGTGCATAAAAGAAGAGAACCTCAGAGACACCTATTGGTGAAAAACGGAACTTGATAATTATGTGATGAATTCCTGAGAATTTACATATCAGGAATTTCCGGAGAAATATGCCCGAAAAATATATATATGTATATATATATATATATATATATATATACATATATATATTTTTCGGGCATATTTCTCCGGAAATTCCTGATATGTAAATTCTCAGGAATTCATCACATAATTATCAAGTTCCGTTTTTCACCAATAGGTGTCTCTGAGGTTCTCTGCTTTTATGCACTGCTCAAACTAAATATTTTTCTTTGCATCCTTATTGTTAAAAAATGATAATTTACTTTGTAAAAAAAGTTTAATTATTGAATCAAAAATTGATGTATTTTGAAACATAAGTTCTGTCCAGACTACTGACATTAGTCTCACTAGAGATCTCCAGATCAGCTTTACTCCTCTTTTACTGTTGACTAACAAAATAATTATTCTCATACAGCTTGTGTAAGTTTTTATATGTTATACATGTTTTAAGGAACACAAGTATAACGCTATCCTAGTGAAAGTACGCAATTTAAACACAAATTTCAAGAAATGGCTTAAAATGAGTGAAGACGACATTATATGACATTGTTTTACAATGAAAATTTCCTTTTTTCGTCGTCAAACCCTTAAAACCCTGTCATTTAAAATCTCAGTTTCAGAAGACGAAATTTTATATATTATATATATATATATTTATATATATATATATATATATTTCAGGCATATTTCTCCGAAAATTCCTGATATGTAAATTCTCAGGACTTCATCACATAATTATCAAGTTCCGTTTTTCACTAATAGGTGTCTCTGTGGTTCTCTTCTTTTATGCGCTGATCAAACTTAATCTTTTTCTTTGCATCCTTATTGATAAAAAATTATAATTTACTCCAGAAGTAATGAGAAGAATAATAATAAGAATAAGAAGAGCCATTTTTGTAAAAAAAAAGATTAATAATTGATTGAATCAACAATTGATATATTTTGATTTAGTGAGACTAATGACTAGTCTGGGCAGAACTTATGATTCAAAAATTTTGAAACATAAGTTCTGTCGAGACTACAAATACATCTAAGAATCTAAACAAAATATTGTTACAGGAGGTAAGAATTCTCATCTTCTAAAAGTGACGCATATTTTTTCAGATCCAGATCCAGGAGACCAAAATGTTGCGCATATCACGGATCCGGATACAAAGCATTTATTTAATATATTGATTTGATTTGATTTGATTTGATTTGATTCGATTTCAGATTACAACATATCCGCTGGAGAAATATTAGATTTAACGAACAAATCCTATGAGTTCAATTTCTCCGCCTCCCAAGCTGAGCTCAAGGTACTGAGCGGGACTACACAGATTGCATCCTGTTTCCTAAGGTTGGATCATCTCCTGGATGCTCCAAGTATAGACGGACTACAGGAGAGGAGTAGCCAAGAGACTATAATCTCTGAGCACGGAGTTCTAGGATAGTGCTAAATTTTGTGAGAAGAGGTTCACTTGTGGAGGCAGATGGAGGAGAGAAGAGTACTCAAGCGATGTGCCCAATCCATGAAGGAACGTTACAGGAAGAGGATCAAACCATCATTTGATAATCCTTTGTCTCAGTCCAACTACGCATCTATATAATCCCGATTCTCCAGCAAGACAGAGATCTCCAATTTCCATACTACAGAGATACAGTTTTAACCCTCTTTTACTTTTAATGTTTTGATTATTATATTGTGAATTTTTATCCGAAATATTTATTGTTCTTTTTTTCAGAAAAAAAAAAAACTTCTAAGTCTTATAGGTTTAGTAGATCAGTTATAATAATTTTTAATAAAGATTAAACATCTAAGAATCAACATAAAGTTACAGAAATGATATAAATAAGATAGCTAGGGGGGAGGGTAGGGTAGGGTTTTATGTGTCTTATAGGATTTTCTCAGATGTTCGTTTATTATATTTATATCGGCGCAGTTATTTGTTTTAGTTTTATATTATAGTTAAGTATATGGCCGCTAGGTGTCTCTAACATTAATATAAGCCATAGCATAAAATTACGTAAATAATCATTGGCTGAAGAACAAGAAGTTTATGTGTACTTCAGATTATTAAGGTGTCTTTAAAAAATCTTGGAAACTTCGTTTATGCTTATTAAAACATCTAAATAGTTTTTACAAGCTGACTAAATCTATAGAATATAAAATTGTTCATGATACTGCTATCCTACATCTTCCATTTCATAATGGTCTTATTTTTGAGCTGCATAGCTGTACAGTCTAATCTTCTCAAGATGATTTAATGCTTAACTTTTAAAAGTTCTAGATATTTAAAGGGTTGGGCACGTTCCGACTCTTTTGAAATCGTTCCGTCCTAGAACGAGGGCCTTCAGATAAATCGTTCGGTTCTCTTTCCTTTATTATTGTATTAAAAGGCTTAAAAGGTTTTGGAATTTTAGGTTTAGCAGGATTTGGAAACTCCAGGTTTAGCAGGATTTGGAAACTCTAGGTTAAGTAGGTTTAGCAAAATTTGGTTTTTAATTTCAAGAAATGGCTTAAAATGAGTGAAGACGACATTTTATGACATTGTTTTACAATGAAAATTTCCTTTTTTCGATCGTCAAACCCTTAAAACCCTGTCATTTAAAATCTCAGTTTCAGAAGACGAAATTTTATATATTATATATATATATATATTTATATATAAATATATATATTTTTCAGGCATATTTCTCCGGAAATTCCTGATATGTAAATTCTCAGGACTTCATCACATAATTATCAAGTTCCGTTTTTCACCAATAGGTGTCTCTGAGGTTCTCTTCTTTTATGCACTGCTCAAACTAAATCTTTTTCTTTGCATCCTTATTGATAAAAAATGATAATTTACTTTGTAAAAAAAGTTTAATAGTTGAATCAAAAAGTGATATATTTTGAAACATAAGTTCTGTCTAGACTACTGACATTAGTCTCACTAGAGATCTCCTCCTTCTCATCCTTCTCCTCCTTCTCCTAGCCAGACTTATTTCAGCTTCTCACAAAACTTAGCACTAATCTAAAATCAGTGCATTTTCCTAATAAAAATGTTTTCCTTAATACAACGTACTGAAACGACCGTAAGTTGAGTAAAACGGCTTTTATATAATTTTAAATAGTTTTGATATATGCAGCCGGAATGACGACCAGTCTTCCGACAGCAAATTGTTATATATGGATAGAAAGGTTTTTTTGTTCTCTATATTTCATATTTTATGAAAATTTTTCTAGAACGACTGTAAGTTGAGTAAAACGGCTTTTAGATAATTTTGATATATGCCGCAGGAAATGACGACCGGTCGTCTGACGGCCGATGTTTTTATATGGGTAGAAAGGTTTTTTAATCTTCTATAATTAATATTTTATTAAATTTTCTGTGAGACGCTATCTTAAGACTAAAAAACGAACAAATGTCTAAAAAATATATTGATAACTTTCAATTTAAAAAAAAAATAGAAGACGACATTTGAGAAAAGCGTTTAAGTTCATAACATCAATATTAAAACATAAAGAAATAAAGAATTAAAGGATAAGAGATGAAAAAAGAAAAGAAGGATAAAATAAAAGAAAGAAAGAATGAAAGAAAGTAAAATTCTTTTTATTCATTAAAAAAATCAATGAAAAACCAAAGGGGGTACCCTTCTATACTTTTTTTGGACAACATTTTATATTTGGCTGAAATTTAGGTTATACCTCACTAACATATATATAAAAATTATTGTAAAATTTTTCTTAAATATCTCTTTTTAGGTGGTGGGTTTTTTTTTTCAAAATAAGAATTTATATAAAAAACTTGGCGCAGGCCAATGTCAAAATTAAATGGTCCTACGTCAAAATGAAGAAAATCAAACTTTTAGAATACATTTTGGGATTTTCAAATCAGTAAGAATATTTTTTAAACGACGACCGTAAATTTAGTAAAACGGCTTTCGCGATTATTTAAATCGTTAAAAGCCGTTTTACTTGACTTATGATCGTCGTAGAAAAAATATTTTGTCAGATTTTAAAATCCTAAAGAGTTCTCTAAAAGTTTGCTTTTCATTATTTTCACGTCAGTTCCTCCCGCCCCCTTTTAATCCGCCTATTACCGTCGTTTTGAGTAATCGTTAAAAGCCGTTTTACTTGACTTACGGTCGTCTTAGAAAATTAGCAGGGAGGGGGAAAATTTAAAATTTGTGATCTAGTGGAGATAAATATCAAATTTCAAGCTCTAAAAACTGTAAATATTTACAGCCCCACAGGGTGTCCCACGAAACATGACATTGAATAAATCATTTTTTTTTAGATTTTCTTTGAAATCAATTTTAATTTAAAATGACTTTCACATTCTAAATTATTTAACAACTGTCATGTTTTGTGGGACAACCTGTAGGCCATCCATCCTCAAATCCTTGTTTTCCCTCCCACTGGCCCCCCCCCCTACTCATCTGAATGATGTATGTGGGGGGAAAAGGGGAGGGGGGCTGTAACTTTAGAGTTTCAAATTACATGTTGAAACTTGAAAACAGGGTGACCCAATAAACATGATAGTTGTTGAATAGTTGAATAGATCAATAAAAATATTATATCGGAGTCATATTATATCAAAATTGATTTCAAACTAAAATATATTATATTTCCATCCACCTCCCCCCAGCTCCTTCAATTTTTTTTATCTAGGTTTAGCAGGTTTAGCAGGATTTGGAAACTCTAGGTTTAGTAGGTTTAGCAGAATTTGGAAGCTCTGAGTGAAGACGACATTTTATGACATTGTTTTACAATGAAAATTTCCAGCATCTGTACCTACCTGTGAGATATTTCCATGAAGACAGCTGTAAACTTAAGAGTACCCTCCTAATCCATATTTTTACAGATTTGTAAATCCCAAACAGTCCTCTAAAAGTTTGCTTTTCATTATTTTCACGTCAGTTCCTCCCGCCCCCTTTTAATCCGCCTATTATCGTCGTTTTGAGAAATCGTTAAAAGCCGTTTTACTTGACTTACCGTCGTCTTAGAAAAAATATTGTTACAGATTTAAAAATCCCAAACAGTCCTCTAAAAATTTGCTTTTCATCATTTTCATGTCAGTTCCTTCCGCCCCCTTTTAATCCGCCTTTTACTGTTGTTTTGAGTAATCGTTAAAAGCCGTTTTACTTGACTTACGGTCGTCTTAGAAAAAATATTTTTACAGATTTGAAAATCCTAAACAGTCCTCTAAAAGTTTGCTTTTCATCATTTTCATGTCAGTTCCTCCCGCCCCCTTTTAATCCGCCTATTACCGTCGTTTAGAATAATCGTTAAAAGCCGTTTTACTTGACTTACGGTCATCGTAAAAAAAAATATTTTTACAGATTTAAAAATCCTAAAGAGTCCTATAAAAGTTTGCTTTTCATCATGTTCACGTCAGTTCCTCCCGCCCCCTTTTAATCCGCCTATTACCGTCGTTTTGAGTAATCGTTAAAAGCCGTTTTACTTGACTTACAGTCGTCTTAGAAAAAATATTTTTACAGATTTGAAAATCCTAAACAGTCCTCTAAAAGTTTGCTTTTCATCATTTTCACGTCACTTCCTCCCGCCCCCTTTTAATCCCCCTATTACCGTCGTTTAGAATAATCGTTAAAAGCCGTTTTACTTTACTTACGGTCGTCGTAAAAACAATATTTTTACAGATTTAAAAATCCTAAAGAGTCCTATAAAAGTTTGCTTTTCATCATTTTCAACTCAGTTCCTCCCGGCCTCTTTTAATCCGCCTATTACCGTCGTTAGATAATTTTGATATATGTTGAAACTTTACAAATGAAACATATGAATCTTAGTACAAATTCTGGTGAAAAACGAAATAAAGAATTATTCTAGGAGCAAAACTCATAAAAACAAAAATGTGAACAGAGCTGATATATATGCGCATAAAAAAAATTGGACCTCTAAACTGACCGGCAGCTGAGTAATCGCCGTCTAAGACACGTTTTTAAGCCCTACTTCTAAGTCTTATATCTCTGGAAGTAAAAGAGATTTTCAAGAAAATTTAAATCTCACAGGTAGGTACTGATGTTGACTATTAATGTGTAAATTCACTTTGAGCTGACCTGCATAACCTAAAAATGGGAGCGCTTTGCATAAAACGTTCTTTTTAATACTTAAATGCATATATCTCTAAAATTAAAAGAGATATTCAAGAAATATTTTAGGATAATGTTTATATATATAGTAGTGAGCTATAATCAAAATTTGAATCAAATCCAAAAAATTTGTTTTAAAAAATCAATAAAACACCAAGGGGCCCTTCTATACTTTTTTTGGACAAAATTTTATATTTGGCTGAAATTTAGGTTACAGCTCACTAACATATATATAAACATTATCCTAAAAATTTTCTTAAATATATCTTTTTTGGGGAGGGGGGGGTTAGGTTATCCTTAAATATTTATCTATCTATCTATCTTTCTATCCATTTTTTTCTGAATGTTAAAAACT